AAAGGAAATGAGCTGAGCAAATTAGTTTTTGATGGTTGTTCGTGTGATTTCTTTCTTTGACAGCCGTCCTCTTTAGTATGAATGCCATTGTGTGTACGTTTTCCTTCTCCGGGAAAAAAAAAATGAAATGTCACTCATTACACGTTATACCACGGAAGGGACGATGTGAGATCGTTGACTTTTAAGGATCTCCGGAAACTCACCGAACTACGACTAAATTTGGAGTATTTAGTTGCTTTTTCTTTCCAATTGCATTGTGCATGGGTGTGTGTGTTTACCTTATGGGCTGATGAGTTAATGAAGAGGAGTAAATGAAATCCTTCATTGTGTTTGATATAATGTCAGCTTCCATTAGGAAGACTGGTGCTAGGAATGATTGCTAGACTGTTGGGGCCGGGGGGTGGGGGGAGGTGCACTGCGGGTGTGTATGCATCGCTGCGTGTTTGTGTGGACACCCCAGGGCACGGCAGAGGCGCCAAGTGTCTTCTGAAATTATAAAATCATTAGCAGGTGTCCAGAGGAGATATGAATATGGCTGTAATCTGTCCCCTCCCATGATGGAGCGCTTGTCACAAACTCAAAATGTCAACCTGACTCCAGCAGCATATTGAGAGAGCTCGAATTCAGCAAATACGCTCAGTCATATCATGCACGCCTACCTGTGACAGTGTTCTGTGTATACAAGAAGCCTTGTTGCCCTGTGCAAATCAACCATCTGTCTTCTTCGTGTGAATCGACGTTTTTGGGTTAAAAGGCTCTGAATGCCGATGTTTACCTGATCAACTAGCATGAATCGATTACAAAAAGACGCACTGATGAAAACACAAAAATGGGCAGACAGGTATCTGGTTCGACATGAAAGCAAGCAGTGGCGAGGAGACAAAGTCACATTGTAATCTAGAGCGGAGAGGCTGGTCTCTATAGCAACTCTAAGCATCGAAACTACACGCTACCGCTTCTGCTGAAATCTGAAATTGGTGCTAGAAGGCTGGTGTTGAGGGTGGAAAAAAGAGAAAYGGAGGAAAGATGGAGATAAGACCTGGCAGGGAGGAGGAGTAATGGAGCAAAAAGAGGAGAGGAGAGGAGAGGGGGGCAGAGTGAGATAAGGGTGATGGAGGGAGGGGAGATGAGCGGGGAAGATTGATGCAGGGGAGGAGCTGGAGATCATCACCTGACCTCGGTGTTTGGCTGCGTTTTGGAATTTGTTGGTCCACTCAGGATCATAGATTCAATTTACTGATAACGCTTCCTGTCCGAAGGATTTTCTCAGCGCATTTGTTGTTTTGAGTATATTCAGTGACGTGAACATGCACATTAAGATGCTTTCCAGTGCAATATTACGCACTGAATACGTGTTTAGGCAGAAGCCAGGAGATCAATGCAGGATAATTACTGACTTTGGTTGTATCAGATGTGTGTTTGACCACAAACCCTCAGCCCAAAGACACCTGTGACCAGCTGCAACAGATGGTCACCATGGTGACTGCTGTGTCACGGTGTTTTCAGACAACGTGGAGCCATCTTGCCCATGTTGCAGACATGAGTAGAACCAAATACAAAACAGTAAATTTAAAAGTTTAATTCGGTGGTGCTCAGTGGGTTTCTTTCATGAATCGTGTATTTTTTTTGAGCAAAAAGCTATTAGATAAGATTCCAGTGGCTTGTCTAGAAAACGATATGGCAGTTACAAAAATATNGCCTTACATGTTGGAGCCAGAGTCTGAGTCTGACCCAGAACCAGAGTCTGATCCAAAACCATAGTCTGACCCAGAATGAGAGGAGGAAACTGTAAGTGAAATATGAGTTTACAGCCAACAATGCACGAGTCTACATTATCAACATGGTTTTTCTCAAAATATTCAAACAGCTGAACATTCAGATCATAATTAATAAAAAAAGATAAAAAACTAAGACAACTAGATGTAAGTAGTAATAAAAAGTAGTGGTAGGAATAGAAGTGCAGTTGTTTTTGTTTTATAATATTCACGTGGATTGTGTAAGCTGAGTTCTGCCAAGTTCAGTCAGGACCAGTGATCTTTTCTCTTTCTCTGACTGAGCTGGGTCCTAACACCTTTGTTTGGAGGTCAAGGCTGCAGATCCTACCTTGTCGCAGGTGTCACTGTTCGACCCGGTGGGCTCACAGCCACAGGGCTCACAGCGATTCGATAGCATTGGTTTCCAGTAGCCTTTCGAACACACATCACAGGTGCGACCATGGAAATGCGGGCGACAGGGACACTGACCGGTCAGAAGGTCACACACATCTGACAGGGAGCCATCCGGGGAACAGGAACATCCTGTAGAGCAAGATAAGTCAATGTTTACAGGAACTCAAGAAGCTTTCATTCATTGTAGTCCAACAAAACAGGTTATTTTCCTAAAAGTATAAATACTCAAGTACTGTATATACATATAAATATTTTGATTTTCATTTTAGATCCATCATGGTGGTAGCCTGGCCCTTGCCTTCCTACACAGTTCCGTTCAATTCTAGTTTCCCTTCTCTGCTCCGTCTGGGATTTCTCCCATAGACAAGGATTTCTTCAGGAGAAGTTTGTTCGGGCCAATCAGAGAACAGAAGTTTTTAAGAGTTATGAACGGCAACATCGATTTTTTTGCGCAGTGTCTGCTTGTCGTTTATTTTACCTGGGCCAATCAGCAAACAGAAAGAGGAGTTCTGAACGACGTCGATTTTCTGTGCAGTGTCTGCTAGTTAGTTTAGCATACAGCAGTGGAGGAAGTGAATGAAGCCAGTCCATGTTGATAAGGCTTCCAAATTAAAATAAATTTGTYTGACAAAACAGCAGCTCTCATTTAGCTACAGTCGTCTCGTTCTGCTCGGTACTGTTTTCCTCTCAGTAAGGTTGTTTACAGCACACGCGATAGCCGGTTAGCTTCTTAGCTTAGCCTCCTTCTCAGTGGAGCTGGCATACACGTTGCGGCCAACCGATATCATTTTAAACTTCAGCAGAGGCCACGCCTCCAGGAAGAATGGCTTCTCTATAGCCAAGAGTCCAGACCCTCGTACGAAGCAAAGCAAAGGACAAGGGTCTGCCTTTAACCAGGCTATCATGATCAATGGGACTTGCCTGGTAAAATAACGGTAAATAAATAAAATAAATAAATAATGGTGGTGTTTACAGCCAAAAAGATTTGAACTGTGTTGATGTTCTAATAATTATGAACATGACTGTGTTCTGTGTTGTCTTTAAACCCTAAAAATTGTTTTAAAGAGTATAAACCTGATGGTTTACTCCCCTAAATATTCAAGTTTTAACCTAGATTTACTACCATTGTTTTGTGTTTAAATATCAGTGACGTATAGAAATAAATCAGTGCATTTTAAAGAATGGAATGCAAGATGGAACTGCAAAGTTAGGCCTCGGAATKAAGCTTTTTAATATATCCTTTGAGAACAGAGGATTCTGGTCATGTTTTTGAGGAACTAAGCATGACTGTACAGGAACCAATTCTGAACAATATTGCAGCAGTGAGAGTAAACTCTTCTAAAGCAAAGAGACTGGGCGTCAGATCAATCCTGCTGCAGACACAACAACACTGTCTCTCTCATTCACTCCATTTCTCTTCTCTTTCTGCACAGGCACGGGCTATTTTTAGCCCGTGCAGTTATTTCTCCTCAACACCCCTCCACCGCCACGCATCTCCTTCCCCTCAGTTCATTCGTTCATACCAGCCCGACCTGAGTTTCCATCTCTGACCTCCAACTTACCTAACTGGCTTTACTCCCTGATCAATCTGCTCAGATCCCTCCACTCTGCTGCCTTTCTTCCATCCTCAGCACTGATTGCAGAGCTGGGGTGAGCGCAGGGAGTGCTGGTAAGTTGAGATGTGTCAAAGAGGCCAAATCTGCTACTTCTGTCTTCTTTTTGATTCCCCAACTTAGTTTTTATAGCATTGATATTTGAGTTTTGATCATCTTGTCTGTTTTCTTAATACTTTCTGGTTAGATTTAGAGTCTAGTGGTCCGAGAGGTTTTAATGCTCAAAGTAACCAAGAACTGATAGAAAATTGAAATATTTCTACATTCAGGTAGTGGATTACGTATAAAAACTAAACAGAAGATAAATGTAACAACTGACGAGTCGAGCAGTAAAAACAAAAGAATTTGACTTGTATAATAATAATAATAATAATAATAATAATAATAATAATAATAATAATAATAATAATAATAATCACTACGTCTGAACAGGACGCTTTGTTTCTCTGTCAGCCAGCCCCCCTTATCAAACCATGACCACAGCTCTTCCAGTAAGGATGAGGCAGCCACTGTGTTGCCCTTGAGAGGACACCCTCAGCCGGCCTCCTCATTAAAATGAAGCATGCCACACAGATGCTCCTCGCCGCATGCAGCCACTGCCTACCCTCACGCCTACCTGTACCGGAGATAAGGACACTAGTCGAGATGAAGCGAGAACTGCTGGGAGGTTCACGTCCCGAGTGTGCGTGTGGGTGGGTTAAGTGTAAAAGCTCGGTGAGAAGCTGAATCTGGGACTTCAGCTTGACGGCTGGAAACTTAAGTGATTAATAAGAACATTTAAAGGTAACGCAGTGACAGGAAGTTTCATGCTTCTTTGTTTTTTTTTTTTTGTTTGTTTTATGGTCTTACCCTCTGGTGAGAGCCGCTTGTCTTGGCTGCAAACAAACAGTCGAGGTTTGATAAAACTCCCACAAAGGATGATGCTTTGAGTTTATTCACTAGAAACCATCTGAACTGACAACAGTTTTCCAAGCCACATTCAAACATCCTATAAATTTGGTTGCATCACATCTTGTTGCTTTGACCATTATAGCCATTTCACATCACACTACTCCTCCCGTGTTCTGTGATGCTGATTATATTCTCATGCTGAACAGTGTGATTGAATATAACCATGACTCTCTCTCTCTCTCTTGCTTACCACCACAGGTCAGGGCCGATATAGGCGATGCTATATCTCCTCTCATCACCTTTCTTCTTACTTTTCTTTTCTGCACAGGAGAATGCCATTTCATACTACGATTCCAAAGCGGATTCAGACTATGTGAGTACAGCGCGGACTGCTCTCCTCTCCCCTCCACCCACCCCCGTCGTCTGCCTGCCTTAACCCGTCAAATCCTACCCRATCCACGCCCCTGCCTCCTTCCAATATTTCCTGCAAGCCCCTCCCCCGCCCGCCCCCCATCCCCTTGGCCTTCTCGGTGTTGATGCCCTTCCTCCTCGGGTCATGGGATCCTGCGCTGTCTGTGTGCGTTAGTGAGGTGACACTGCTGTATGGTGAGTTGGTGTGGCAGAAGCACGGGCAGGTCGACATGCATGTGTCAGTGAATTCAGATGTCCACCCTCCCACCTCCTCCACCCCACCCCTTACCTGGTGTCATTTCCAGAGGTTTTTTATTTATTTTTTCTTGTGCCCCAGACCAGAACTGCAGGATGTTAGATCGCTGCGTCCTTCAAAATGCATCCGAACACAACACAAGTCATTTCACAGTTTTATACGGCAGGGTAGCTTTTTTTTACGCATGTTATTCATTCAGACTGAATAATATGAGTGGCATTCAAAGAAAGGCCAGCAGGCTGGGTAATGCATTTCCGCTTTAGAACAACTCCACCACGTATTGGTTTCACCGTGCCTCCACACTGCACTTCCTCCTCAGGAGAGGGCACACTTGGAACCCAAAGCTGCTGATTGATTAAGTCTCAAAGAGGACTGCAAGAATGCCTTTTAGATCAGCAGAGCACAAAAAGAGATGGGACACAGAGTGAGAAAGAGAGGCAGAGGAGCAATAAATCACGGTGTGATTTTCTCTTTGTGCACGCTAGTCTTGTGATTAATGACACGGCGCTTTAGGGCCTGTCAGCACATCTAATTGGGGAACATCGGTCATCATTAACATTGCACACCGAGGCCGAGTCTGTAACGCACCTCTGACCCTTTCTTCAACAAACTTACGACCTCCCAAAACCACTGGCAGCAGACAAGCAGAGGTTATTCCTCTCTGGATCTTCCCCAGTCGCCCACCAGTCTTCCCCGTCTTGCCTCCCTCAATGAATCCATTCGGTTAAAGCTGTGGTGTTTGTTCGCTTCCCTGTACTTTTAACGAGGTGTCAAACAAAACTGGTTTTAAAATAAAGGWAAGTCATGGCAGACTGTTTTCCCTTGTGTACGGTACACCCTGTTAWTTTCTCCTTTTGTCACCGTTCCCTTGATACAAGCGACTTATGCGAGCATGACCGATAATTCTGGTGTTGACAGCGAAGAACATTTTATTGGCCACTTTCAGGTTTCATTCTGTTTTAACTATGTCAGGTGTGGTAGTAAAAATAGATGTCAGAGAAATCTGTTCCTCCAGTTCATAAAGGTTTAGTAAACCAAACACATGGATTTACATTTACAAATGTACAAGTTTCTAATTTAATAGCTGGAAGGATGTCAGTGGGGTATTTGATTTGGTTGTTTAAAAAAGATGAATTAAGACACTTCTTCAAAGGATAATTAAACCAGCTGAAAAAAGTTTTTGAGCAGTACTCTGGTTAAAAAATAATAAAGAACTTAAAGATAACATTGTAAAAAGAAAATAAAAAAATCACAGCTGAGATGAAGAGTTGTTGAGATATTCGCATATGAAGAAACAGGAAGTGATGTCAAAGGGAAGTGTCTGACTGTGAACAGAGCATTATTACAACATCTAACAACACGAATATGATGTTTGTTTAGATTATTTTGAGAATAATGAAGAAGCGTCAGAGTTCTAATATTGTTTCTGTAAACAAAGACCAAGACRTTTCATTTCTTAGAGAGTTCCCCTTTGATGTCACTTCCTGTTTCACTTTTGCTGAGCCAACTTCAAAAGAAAATATGCCATTTATGTGACAAAAACTATAAAATTGTGTTTACTATGCCAAGTTTCTTAAATATAAATATATTTTCTTTTTGGCATTTTGTATTTAAAGTATAGGCATGTCACAGGCACTTTAAATATTGCTAATCATGCATTTAGGCTGTAAAATGATTTTCTTCTGCATGTCAGCTGTTACAGAAAAAATATACAAGTATTTTAAACTATTATTTAACAATATTTGTTTGTGTATGGATTCATCTGTCTTTATAGGACTGTTTTATGCTTATAGAAGTGGACTCTCATTGATCTGAACACACACACACACACACACACACACACACACACACACACACACACACAAACACATGCACACAGGGTCATAAATGACATGTTTCAGGTTAGCCCTGGTCAGCTGAAGGTGGGAATGAAAGAAGCTTTGAAATGTCATCTCTGGCCTCTTCAGCCTTTAATTAAACCTGGAGAACTGGGAGATAAAATTAACAAATTGGGTAATGAATCGAGCAAAACAGGTGGTGGATGGTTGAAGAAAATGAACCAATCAGTCTTTCCTGTGTGGATTTATTCAGCTTCTAATTAGACACTGCCTTGGTTAATTATGATTGGGCTTTTCTGAAAGAGAGGGGGGGGGGAATCCCTCCGTTCCCGATGCTGACTGAATTAGAGTCACACTGGATGATAAACAAACATGTCAAGCTCACGGCCAGGTCTGTATATACCCCAAAACTTTTAATTTTATCTTTTTTTTATTTAAATTTTTACCTTCCTAACCAAATTTGAGTAAAAATGTTTTCAAATATTTTGTAACCAAATAAATTAGGTGTAAAATATTTAATTTTGGGT